TATATATATATATATATATATATATATATATATATATATATATATATATATATATATATATATATATATATATATATATATATATATATATTCACTTATAATGCTGAAGTAATACGCGAGAAAAAAAATTGATATGTGAAAAAAAGATGAGTTGAGTTCGCACCCAGTCCCCCTAGACGTCATCTGCGTAATTTCCCGCCAAAATGATCATTCCCACCATTTTGTTTTCGTGGTGTTTGAGAATATAAAGTGAAATGTGATTGGAATTCTGTCCATCCTGTCGTGATAAATGTAAGTAAATGCTATTAAATGAGTTGTTTATGTCGTTTAGAATAGTTATTACTAATTGTTTTACAGTTCGAATGTTTGATGGAAATAAACTAGAAAAATTTGGTAGTGTAGTACGACCTAACATTTTTATTTGCGCTTTCTCGGTATATGAGCAACCGAAATACACATACTTTTTTTTACATATCGATTTTTTCTCGCGTATTACTTTCAGCATTGGGTGAATAATACAATGCTTCATAAATCTCAGCATGCAAAATTTTAATCTCAACCCGTAATTTTTAATTCTCGAACATTGATTATTTTCTCAACCTGTTAATTTTCTAACTCATGATCAACTGAATTTTACATCTCATGCAACTACCAAACATTGTATTTCAACATATAATTTTCATTATTATTTATTTAAAAAATTCCTGGTTTCTGATTGGCTAAAAGCCAGAGGCGTAGCCAGGGCTGGGGCCGGGGGGCCTGGCCCCCCTGGCAAAATTTTGCCCCCCCCCTGATAAAATGTATTGTATAAAAAAGGGACTCCTTCATTATACAGGGTGTCTCAAAAAAAACGCTATGGAAATTCAACAGGCTGTCGTGCATCATAAACGTGGCTAAACAATTCAATTTTTACATAGGACGAAAGAACAGTTATTTAGCTTTTCAATGATACTCTTTTTAAATCGTAACGATGAGAAATGGCCACATACTCGTCAAATAAAAATTGCCGGTCGAAATCACATTCTTCCACCGTTGGGAATTGCATGGAAAACGAAACATAAACAATTCCCAAGAGGGAATTAAAATTGAATGTTAAATTATCTAAAATAAGCTCAACTCGTCAATCTTCGTCTTAGTGAGACCATAAGAACGTCCATTATTGCATTAAACATGGTTCAATTAACCCCTGAACAGAGAACATTCGTAATCAAAACGTTTTACGAAACAAGTACCTTGCAGCAGACTCGCGGTGCTTTTGGATTGATTAACTTTGCATAATTAATGTATTTTCAATTCCCAACGGTGGAAGAATGTGATTTCGACCGAAAATTTTTATTTGACGAGTATGTGGCCATTTCTCATCGTTACGGTTTAAGAAATATATCATAGAAAAGCTAAATAACAGCTCTTTCGTCCTATGTAAAAATTGAATTGTTTAGTTAAGTTTGTGATGCACAACAGCCTGTTGAATTTCCATAGCGTTTTTTTTT